CACCTATTTTTCGAATTATATAGTTTCAAATAAAGAAAAGAAAATTTGAATTGAAATATTTTTAGTTGTTATGTCTTCAAGAGATGAAAAAAAAAAGATTCTAAGAATTTGATAACGTTTTTCGAATTATTTAAAGTTTTTTTCATCTTTTCGAAACTTACGATTTTTTTAAATGTAAAAATCAAATTACAACAACTTCAAATACACTAGCATGACAAACAGTAGCAGAACAATTGATAACATCGTTTTATATCTATCACGCAGTACTTATCACTTTCCAATTTAGGACATCTAAAAAGTTTAAAAATTTGATTTCAAGAAATGATACACGTATTATCATCATAAACAATAGACTAGTTAGTTGTCATTTCTAATGCAATGAATTGTATTCGCCGAATATCCTGCTAAATTAATGGCAAAAGTAAGAGATACTAAAATAACAAGTGGAGATAAATTTCAAGCTATGAAATTAGGAACTTTTAAGTGAAATATTAAGTGGGAAGAAAAAGTTTCAAATCATAGAGTTAGAAACTTTCAACTTTCCAAAGTATTACTTATCTTACAATGTCTTTACTTAGTGATAAATAAACTGATGGATTGAACTGCTTATAACAACAATACATTTTATTCGTATATCTTCCAAACAAATATATCCATACGTAACTGCTTGAATCATTTATGACTTAAAAAAAAATAAACTGAAAGAAAGGAATTTGAATGATAAATTTCATTCTTTCATTTCTCTTTTTATTGTTTCCATTCCAACATATCATTACTATATATATATTTTTCCTTTTTTAGAAATAAAACGACAATAGCGCTTCCATAAACTTTCTCCATTTGTACAATAAATTGATCTGGAAATATTTATCATTTTCCTAAATAATCATTTTAAAAAAAAAAACGAAATTACTGATTGAGACTAACAATATCATCATAAATAATGAAATAAATTAAACTTCAAGATTCCCAGTCATATTGCATGCTTTATTGATTAACGAGAAATTTTGTCACCAAAAATCTGTCAAGCTCTCGGGAGAATGTCGCAAATAAAGAGGAAGAAGTTTTAAGCAGTTACTATTGATACGAAATTTGGAATGATCTAAGTTGAGATGTCGTAATCGAAGATATTTTCAAGTAAATCATTTAGTATCATCAAATGATTCCATTTCATCCTTTCTTTACTATCTGTGCAAAGAATTAAAAGTACTGATAAAATTAAACTTCCTATTATTGGCATTCACCAACTGTTCCGGAATATTTATTCCGTTTTGCATAAATGTTTAATTGAATTTTTTGAGGAAAAAAAAAAAAGGATGAGTGGGTTAGTTTTGAGAGTAGAAGAGAATAGTGGTTAATTGAAGCATTCCAATGCTAACATACATTTCGAAAAAATTTCCTTCTCTAAAGAAAGTCGGAAATTTCAATCGTGAGAACAATAGAGTAAAGGCTTCTTTGCTTAACATCCGTTCAATTCAATTATATACACCCATAGACAGACAAACAGACAGACAGACAGACGGACACATACTAATGATATCATAATAAATAATGAAATGAATTACAGACACACAGGCACATACATTGGATAAATAAGAGGAAATTTAGTAGGCCTATTTTGAATTGCTTAGGCTTATTTGCCATCAGGCTCAATCGTAATCCCAAAAAACAAACAATACAAACTTCTCTCATTTTGTTAGAAAGTTAAGACAACTGAGTGGTCTCGACGAATAGTGGAAATTTCAGCTAAGGTAATACAATTTTCTACCAATAGATCAGTTTAATTAGCAGAGATAAAGTGGATAGTTTATTATATGACAAAGTTGAATATTTGACGCTTCTGCGTTAATATCGCTCAGACCGTTACAGAAGCTTTCGAATAACTCTGATAAGACTAGTTTTATCAATTTATTTTTTTCTGTCGAATATTCCTGTCCAACTTACTTGTGGATAAACCAACAAATCATGTATAAATTGGGTTAAAAGAGATATTGCAACTTCAAAAATGCCCACTTCATCATTTTCAACAACCACAAGAACTATCTTCTCTTCAGAACAGAAATATGAATTGTACTGATGTAGCTAGGTAATTATACTGTATACATATACATATATATGAAATAATGATTATCTATTTTGGAAAATCCAATATTTGAACTTGAAAATCATCCATATCCCTTCAGGAATTTAATCTAATCAATTATGAGTTATGGCTAATTTCTTATAGATTTTGTCATTTTACCCACAAACTGTTGCAACAGATTGAAATAAAAGTTAATTAAAAAAGAATTAGATCGATTTGGCCATTCCGCTTTGTTGCAAAATCTCAACTGTCTTTCACATTCATTCTTTAGAGTTGCAGAATTTATGAGTTTTAGATAGAAGTGCTAATTTAAGAAATTTATAAGAAAAGCTAAAATTTTAACTATTTAAAGGGTATCATATCATGATGCTTTATTTCTTGTAGTATAAAAGGACATTGCGAAGAAATTGCAATGTCAAAGGGACGATAATTAGTAATTTGTCTAATACATGCGATATACCAAATATTAAATTGAAAAGATCATTTCAAAATCAATTTCTAATATTTGGATTATTTTATGCATATCAGTCATATGAGCAAAAATTATTTTATGTTGCTCTAATTAAGGTTATAAATCATAAGCACTTACTAAATGACATTTGAAGGTTGGATAGAGAACTTGTGATACATGAAGTTTTAATCAATCCACTTAAGTTGCAATATAAGATGAATTGAAGGAAAGAAAAAAGATGAGAGAGAGAGAGAAAGAGAGAGAGAGAAAGAGAATATCTCTGCTAAGTAAATTTCATGCTTTTGTTCACCCCTTCACCAATATACCGTTCAAAGTACATCAGTTAAGGATAAGTTATTTTCACTCTGTAATCACCTTCATTTTAACGCTGTCACTTCAACTTTCCTTTCCGTTTTCCGGTCCGTTTTCCTTTTTTGACAGCTCTTATAACCAAAGATAATATAGTCCTTCACTTCCTTTCTCATTCACTAATCATATATTCTTATATTACCATTCATCTTATTTCGTATTATTTATTTCATTCAATCATCAAATCTTTCACTTCTTGTATTTACATCTTAGCCTAAAATTTCATTTTATATTAAAATTACTCATTTAAGTTCCACTTTTTATTGTATAAAAACAATATTTTAACTGAAATATGAAATTCATCAAGGCGAAGAAGTGGATGGAATATTATCTCTCTGTTCCACTTCATTTCTCTTTGTTTACCCTTCTGGAGTTTTCGATTGATTTAATATCAACTTATAAAATTTGGTTTATCACATTCAGAACTATTCAAATCTTGCTATACTGGATTGTGTGACACTATGCAGTTAATTTTAGATGAAGTTATCGGAGAAAGCTGAATTTTGAAATTGATATTTTTGAATTTATCACAATGTTCAGGAAATCAAATTTATGGAATCAAATTGACTAGAATAGCATCTTGCATGATTATTTTTAAACTGGAACTTTCTTTTTAGAAATAATTTCATCTCATCCTGCTACAGTAGCATTGTAATTTGATAAAGTGAAGAGAAGAGTGATGGTTTCAAATCCAACCAAATCATATCAAACTCTGGTAATGATATCATTAAAGTCTTTCAGTACCAAAGCAATTTCAGTAGAAAATAGCTATCCGAATGAATTTGAGCTCAATTTTATTGTTTCACATCAATAGCAACAATAACAACAATTATTTGATAAAATGACGAAAAATGTTACAAAACGATTTTTAGTGAATGAAATTTTTGTTTACAATGGATTAATTTTCATTCTTTCTCATCGATTCATTCACAATTTTTTCTTCTTTCGTAAAATTGTTTACATGTTTTTTTATCTTTGTTGCTTCAAATGTAAACATTTTTATCAATTATTTGTCAATCAACATTTTCATCAGTTATTTCAATTATTTTCTTTTTATCAGTTTATCAATTACTTATCAATTATTCAATTATTTGTTCATCTGTCAATTTTACCGTCTTTGTTAATAGATAATATAGCACATGTTGCCAGATGTTCAGTACGGTTGACCGGATTCTATTAGGAAAACTGAAAAAGATGAACATTTCGGTTGATTCAATTTCATTCAATTTTATCCATTTGAGGACAACTACTCAAGTTTATTTCAACTAACTAGCAGCTTTAAACTGAATGCTAAATAAGATTTGTAATACATCCTTCTTTCGTCCTTCTTTTTCTTTTGAGAACTAAGAGATACAAGTAGGAATTACTTTTGAAATTTCAATACTACCTGATTATTACTTATCTCACCAAGTCTCAATTTTGATAATTTTTTTTATTATTACCATCTTATCTTTGATTCTGATGATTTATGCATTTACAATGGAAAGGGAAAATTCAAAGATACACTCAATAAATTCTTTTTTTTTTACTAACGATGTTGTTTTTGACTAACAATGATTTATGATGTGATTTTTGTTTTTTCATAAGTCCGCAAATGGGACAGTTATCATCATTAGCAGAATCATTCTTGGACTTGTCATCAACCTTACCAAATATCGTCAAATTTAAAAAATGTGCAAAAAAGAATTAAAACATCTGTATCAGACATTGATCTTTTCTTTTTTATTAATAATAATCATTAACAATTTTTAAGATGTCCACCTAATTGATACATTTTGAAATTTAGAAAGAACAAAAAAAACAAGCCATTGAAGTTTTTCTTTCTGAACGATAAAGTTTTGATGCAAAAAATATGCATCACAAAAGACGGCCACATCCTCATTCTTTCATTTCCATATTATTTAGATGAATTAGATAGAAAGTGCTGAATTGAAATCATTGATTTGTATAAAGATAACATAATTAAGGCAATCAATAATGAGTAACAGTTAAATTATAAATCTGCTCGCATCATTAATATTAATATCGATGTATATTTGCAATTGCTACTTAAAATATGCTCAAAAATTTAAAAAAATAAAAAAAAACATTATTCAATTTAGACACACTGCATTCCATCGATGTGAACTGTCATCAAAAGAAATTATCGATGAGCGATGAACGGTGGCGCATGCGAGATTGGTTCGGTACCATTTCAAAATGCCACCTGGTTATTTGCGACATTGTCTCATTTTCATGTCACATATGGCTTCATACATCCTTATATTGCTGTTATACTTTGTTTCGCAGGTCAGTTTTTGTAACTTTAATTAAAATTTAAAAAAACCGAATAAAAAATGATGACAATTTATTAAAGCTTTTGAAAAATATCTGATCAATTGGAAAATTCTGTAGCTAAAAGTTTTTGACCAGAAATTAAGCATGACGAAATAAATCAAAATTATAATAGATCATAATTATAATTAAAGAAACAAATTAAATTATATTAGATTAAAGAAATAGATCAAAATTGAATCTTATTTTCGTTTAAAAATGAATAAACTAATTTCTGAACGTTAGGTCAACTGTCTATCCACTTATTTTGAATAGAAGCGAATTGATTTTAGATGAAATGATGATTTATTGGTACTACAAGAATAGATAAGTTAAGAGTTGGAGCACTAATTAACTGATCGAAGTTATTACATTCATATAATTCACTGTGATTCGAAAAGAATAAGTAATTGATTGGACAACATTTTGAACAAATTTTCAATTTTCAATTTATTAAACATTGATTAATACATTTCAAAGGAAAGCCATTGCATTGATAAAACTTGACAAATTTCTCATAAAAGTTATCACTTCTTGCAAAAATTATCATTTCTGTTGAAAAAAAGAAACTTTTGATCTCTTATTGACTTTTCTAATCTTTCAAATAAATCATTTTTTTCAGTATCTTTAACTGCCTTCATCACATATTTAATCGAAAATAATTTGTCAATCTCATCAGTTACAATTAGTTAATGTATATAAAGTTAAAGATATTGAAAATTTTCTATTTATTAAACTGATTAACACATTCCAAATCACATTGATAAAACGACGATTGACAAATTTCTTACAAAAATTATCACTTCCTCTATAAAGATGCAATTACAGGAGATTTGCTAAGGATGAAATATAGAATACATACTTTAGGCACAATATTGAACGTGATGACAATCGCAGTATTAACCCGTCCCTCAATGATTTCACCGGTAAATGTACTGCTCTGTTCGGTAGCAGTTTGTGATGTACTTGTTATGGCATCATATCTGGTCTTCGTTACGCATTTCTTGATTAATGCAGCTAATCGTTGTTTGCATACTGATTATAATTATCCGTGGACAATCTTTACTCTAATTCATGCCCATGCATCTGTCATTCTACATTCTACAAGTATATGGCTTACTGTTAGTATTATATTCGTTTTCTTTAAATTTCATTTTAATTAAAATTAGAAATGATATGAAATGACTTGGGCATGACTCTTTTTTGATTTACACGAACGGAAGATAAGGATTAGCTGATAAGATTATAAGATTGAGATTTATTTTTTCCTTTTACAGTAATTATTTTTTAAAAATGAAGTATTAAATTTTGATAAATTGATTTTTTTCCGATAAATTAGTAAATGAGGAAATTGAAGTGATATTTATAAGGACTTGGAATAGAACAAATACTAGAAATACAATCGAAATATGTAATGAGAATGAATTTGAGTTTATAAGCTCAGATTTAGCAGAATTGTTCGTTTTTTTTTCCCGGTATTTCTTTCCATAAGCAGATTTTATCCTTTTACAAAAGATAAATTTCATCTTTGAATCAAATGTTTCTTTATAATATCAAAAATGTTTGAGGTATTGCTGGCTCAAATACGTGTCTTAACAATTCGTCGCTCCACATTCCATCCGTCAACTACTGTTACAATACGTTTTACTGTTTTGCTCAGTCTAGCCACATGTTTCATCATGTCCTTATTCAATCTTCCCAATTTTTTAACTTTCAAGGTATGTTCATTCAAGATTTTTTCCCGTACCTTTTCATAACCTTTTAAATAATTGTTTAATGCTCAAGCTATCTTACAACCTTTAATGTTTCCATGAAAATATATCCTTGTTTTCGCTGGGAAATTTTATTAAGTCAATGATTAAAGATTGTAAAGACATCACCAGAGCTATTTCTTCCATGCTTAATCAAATATTCCGAGAATTCATCATCATACAGCAAAATTGACGATGATTACTCTGAGCAGAATCCGGATTACTCACAGCATGATGATGAGTATCCGGTTTACATGCTTGTCGCATCACAAGGCAATTGTGTTAAACTAAAGGTACTTCTGCATGATTATACTTATCAGTTATCCTATCAACGAACTCTGAAATTTTATTACCATAAATATTTACAGTAATGGAAAAATAAGGGAGGAATAGGGAATTTTTGTTATAATTTATAATGACGATTAAAATGAGTCCAATTTTCAGTTGTTCAGAAAGTTTCTCATCAATTTTCTCATCAGATTGAGATTCATTGATTTCATTACTTCAGTTTTCACTCCTTAAATAACTGAGAAACTACAATGAAATTCCAAAACTAGAAATTTACGAACAAAATATGTTTCTTTTTTTTAAAAAAAATAATGATTACACTACGAAGTAAAAGGGTAAAAACGTCGTCAATTACTTGTGAAATTAGTTCATGAATATTAATTAGGAATTGAAAAGTGTAACACTATTAATGGCCAGTTAAAAGCATTGGAAAAAAAACTTGTCTGTTCATATAAGGTATTTTGACATTTTTTTAAAATGATACCAAAATGATACTTAAAATGAAAACAAAGAAGTTGAGACTCAATTAATCCTTAATAAGTTTTTTCAGTTAGTAAATTATTAAATATTGTATATCCGATTAAGTGAAATATTCATGTTATAGTTAGCATTTTGGTCAAATGGAATACTTTTCAAAGTAGTTCCATGCTTATTGCTAACTGTGTCAATCATTATACTGCTCAAAGTGATCGCCGACTTGTCACATCAAAGGCGAACTCTTGCACAGGTTGAGTTGATCTACGATTCGAAACTTTCTCTTCCTTTTTAACAGAAAATATCATATTTATAATGAGAAATGTAAAATAAAATTTCAAGGAATCTTATTAACTGGTAGGGAAATGATTCTTACATTTCAAATATTTCAATTTTCAACACTTAAACCTTTGGACGTCATCAGTAGTTCAACTTTTGCTGATTGTTATTTGCCTATACAAGCTAAATTGTTTTTCTGACTTGCAAGAAAGAAAGAAATCAATCACATAGTAATTGAGAATGTACTGAGATTTGATTAATTAGTAAATATGATGTAATGTGACTAACAAACAAAAGTTATTCCTCAACTAAGTTACAACATATTTAAAATTACATGTTAATTTTAACTCATTGAATCGAATGATTAGTAATGATGCAAGTGGAATAACACCGCCACTTTGTTCAAACTCAATTAGCTTGTGAATTCTTTTTTTGTCATGAAAAAGTTTTCGTTTAAATCAGCTAGAAGAAGAAAAGGAGTAAAACAGCTCTCTTCAATAAAAGGCCTTTTTTTTCGTTTCCTTATTCCTGCTCTTGATAGATTAGAAAGTGTAAGGGTGAAAACCTCCACTTGCTAAATGTTATCTCATCTTTTACTCTAATCGATAAGTAGTATACGTTTGAGAAATTAAATCGAAAAATATTAAAAGACGAAATCAGTTAAACAAATAAAAACGAGTAATAAAAAAAAGTTTTACAAATTGACAAAGATCAGAAATTTATTGAAATACATCAAAGTAAATACAACCCATCACATCCCTACTCATTATTATGTCAAATATGTGATGAATTTAACAAACCATTTAAAATCTTTTGGATAAACTTCATTGTTTCTTCAACTGATCGAACTTCGAGGTGTACTTGATCACAGGAATATCTTTCCCAACTAATAAAACTTTGTGAACACTCGATCATCCATAAAGATAAAATATCTATCATAGAATAAAGAAAAGCGACATCATATCAGTGTCATTCAAGCATGGGAAGTCTCCATAAGCTGCAAATGTATTGAATCTATTTCTTTTCAAGCTAATTAACATTTGTTAACAAAATGCAATTTGATAGTTGATGAAAAGAAAAGTGCCGAAAGATCATACAACACCGATGCTTGTCGCAGTTCTGTCAATATTTCTTATCACTGAGCTACCACAAGGTGTTATGAATGTATTGACGGGCATTTTCACTGGTGATACTTTTCATCAAAAAGTAAGTAATCTAGTTTTGATACAGTTTTTTTTTATTTTGAAATTGTGCATTAAAAGCAGAACAGAGATAAGAAAGATAAGGATTGATAAAGGATTGGAAAGATAAGAAAGA